AAGAAAAAATGAGAAGAGAAGAAAGAAGAAGAGTGAAGAAGAAAAGAAATGAGTGGACAAGAGAACAGAGAAGAGGATAAGAAAGGAGTGGAAAAGAAAATAAACAAAAAGAGAACAGAACAGAGGAGCGGAGAGAACAGAAGTTGAGTTGAATAGAGTCGGGTTGAGTCGAGTCGAGCTGAGCCGAGTCATGCTTGTTATGTTTTATTTGGTGGAAAGAAAAAAATCATTGGTCATCTTATGAAATCAGAACGATCTGGAAAAAGTGAGAAGTAATGTAAATCAATACACATAATAAATTATGCAGCTATGTCATTAACTAGATAAAATTTAATTACTTATGAATAATAAATAACTATGTAATGTAAATGAAATGTATAGAAAAATCTCTAGTCTTCTACGGTTTAACTCAAACGTTTTCTGAAAGTGTATCAGTTTCTTTCTCTCCTTTAAGCCTCAGTAATTTCTGTAGTCTGGTGGTTGTTGTTTGGTGGTTTGGATTAAAGAACGTGTCTCCCTGGGCCCAGCTGGCTAGCATATGCTGCCGTTTAGGCTTGGCAAAACTGCGCCTCCGTGTCAAGAGGGGCTGAAAAATTAGCAGCCAATGAATCATAGCAGCAGAGAGCCCCCCGCCTGCACCGCGGGAAAATGCTTTCTGTGATTTATGAGATGCTGTGAAAGAGATGGTGTGTATATGTGCGTGTGTGTGTGTGTGTGTGTGTGTGTGTGTAATTATGCATGCGTTAGTGTACGCGCATCATTCTGACATGGTGTGGGTTTCTGAATAAGTGTGTAATGATCTGTGGATTTGAGGCACTATGTGACAATCCTACAATATGAATGTAAAAACAGAGACACGCATGTACAAATGTCACACACACACTGCAAAATGGAGGCCCTTAAACTGAAATACTGAGAATATCTACTATTCCCCCCAAAATCTAGTTGATTAGTAAAGATATGTTTGGTGTCTGAACTTTGCTTCTTTAGTTTTGTACTGAAGGCTAATGTAGGTAACAAATAATGGAAGCTTATAGGCACCACTTAGTGCAAGCCGGGTATTCAGTGCCTTTGTAAGCATGTGGTGCACCACATTTTGCGCTTAAAAAGAAGCAGGACGCACTTGTTAGGGGGTGGGTTAAGCCATTAAGACTGACTCAAATGTGACCAATTAACGTGACCATTTACTCTTATTTATTAATAAAGCTGTTTGTTGCATTTAACTGAACTATCAAAACCAAAAATGTGTTGACTTTTATTGAGCCTCTCTCACTAAGTGCATTTTTGTACAAGAAAATGCCTGAATGGGAATATAAGTCATCACCTCAGTCATTTTTTTCAGTACTTTGAAAAATCCAGTCAATAATAGGCACCCACTGATCCTAACTGCGCTCTGAACAAGCTTGCTCACTCACTCAGAAAAAAATTCACAGTGCATCCAACAATAAAACAAGCCGTGTGCACCTTTATATAGTGATAGAAAATATGGAAGCACACAAAGCTCAGATTCTCCATACCAAAACGTTTCAATGTGTGGACCACATGGACATCCACAGGTTGTAACTTCTACTGTGGAATAAACAGGTTTAACCCCTTAAATGGCCAGGGTCCACGGGCAAGCCCAATGTTTTATTACACACTTCTATAACCCAAGAGGAGCTCTACCAGTTTGCACTGAAGTCCCTGTAGTTACTGAATAATAAGACTTAATATGTAATATATGTTATCTTACAGCAACATAAGCAATAATGATAAAAAAACCCCAAAAAATCTTCAAATCAACTTCCACCCTGATCCACTTTTTACCTGTGTATCTGCACACATGGAAGCATGGAGGCGAGAGTGTCAGTGAATATGACTCAGTGTGTGTGTTTGTATATGACTGTGTGTGTGTGTGGAGTGGGGGTGTGAAAAAAGAAAAAAGCAGAGTGAGGAAGAAAAGAAATGAGAAGATGATGTGTATATAGTGTGTGTGTGGTGTGCATCTGTGTATGTATCTGGTGTGTGTGTAGTGTGTATGTTTGTATGTGTCTGCTGTAGGTATTGTGTGTATGTGTGTGTACAGTGTTTGTGTGTGTGTTAAGTGTGTATACTGTGTGTATAGTATTTGTATGTAGTGTGAGTGTGTGTGTATTGTGTTTGTGTGTGTTCGTAGGATGTGTTTGTGTATTGTGTGTTTTGTGTGTGTGTGCAGGATGCGTGTCTGTAGTTTTTATGTGTGTTGTAGGTGTGTGTGTATATAGTGTGTGTATAGAGTGTATGTGTGTTGTGTGTGTAGTAGGTGTAGTGTGTGTGTGTGTGTGTGTGTGTGTGGTGCTGGTATTAAAGTGATGGATGGAGGGTTTGAGTCAGGTTGTTATTTAGAGTCGGGCTGTAAAGCTGTCTGTGGAATGAACAGATTTTAGCCTAATGAGCAGAAAGGGAAGCAGTTAAAGCTTCAATGTGCTCAGCACTTCTTCCAAATGAAATACCGCACCCTCACACTCCTCATCTAAACACGTACAACACACACACACACACACACACACACACACACACACACACACACACACACACATTTGAGAGAGAGAGAGACAGAGAGAAACAGAGAGAGAGAGAGAGAGTAGACAGAGTGAAAAAGAGAAAAAGGAGGGAGTAAAACAATGGAATGAGGAGAGAGAGAAAGAGAGAGAGAGAGAGTGGAGAGAGAATGGGCAGAGAGGAAGAATACAGAGAGACAGCAAGAAAGAGGAATGAGAGGAAGAAAGAAAGAGGAAAGAGAGAGTATAAAGAAGGAAGGGAGAGAGGCAGAGTGAAAGAGTAGAGAGAGAGAGACTGCAGTTCCTCCTGTAAAAGTCAATCTGCTGCACTCTGCAAATCCCGCCACGCTATAGCGCACTCAACCCGCTGATAACAGAGCTGCTCCACACATACATCTCTGCTGTATTCTGCGGTTGTGATTTTTTCCAGCTTAGCTGGAGGGGAAGGGTGAAGCCAGAGTGAACCACGAGTGTCCAGCATGTGAGTTAGATCAAATCATACCAACACAGACCAGCCTACAACCTGCAACCACAAGCTCTTATCACACACACTCCATCCAGTCTATCAGTCTATTCATGTGTAAGTGCCTGCATTCTGTGCTATTGTGCTTTTGGATATATGTACGCACAGCATATAAACACTTGCATATATGTGCATTTGTGAGCACAGGATAATGTAAACTGCACCGTGCTCATGTACTGTATCTACACTCATTGTCCATTTCATCAGCTCATCTTACCATACAGATGCAGCATGTAGCTCTACAAGAGTGTAGTTCATCTGCTTCTCTGTATAATTTGTTAGCCCCTCCTTTTACCCTGTTCATCAATGATCAGGACACAAGCCCACCACAGAGCTGGTATTATTTGGGTGGTGGATCATTCTCAGCACTGCAGTGAGATTGGTGGTGTGTTTGTTAGTGTGTGTTGCGTGGGTACAAGTGGATAAGACACATCAGTGCTGGAGTGATGTCTACTGGAGTTTTTAAACACTGTGTCCACTCACTGTCCACTCTTCTACATCTTGTTGATCCACCTTATAAATGTAAAGTTAGAGATGATAGCACATCTGCTGCTGCACAGTTTGTGTTAGTCATGCTCTAGTCTTTCATCAGTGGTCAGATTCTGGACACAGGATGTTGCTGTCCTGTATCTCCATTTCAGTTTGTATTTTTCTGCAGTATTTGAGCACAGTGCTGCCCTTCACATTGTGTTGTCATCTATATATATCTGTATGTGGGCTATGTAGGGTATAGGGCGTGTCCACTCTTTGCCTTTATAACAGCTTACATTCTTTTTAGGAAACCTGTTTTCAGTCCTAGACATTGATTGCATTTTCTGCCTCACCATACCTCACCAAGTAATCCTAAACACAGTCAACAATGTTGGGGTCTGGACTCCGGGGCGGCCAGTCCATTGTTCTGACAAAATCAGCAGCTTCATTGGTTGATTTGACAATGCTCTTCTATTTTGTCTCTGTGGAGCTTGATCTTCTCCTCTCACTCACAGATAAAAGCCTTAAGCACTGTTTATCTGATGGTGACAGTTCTAGTGGTCTACCAGGTCTTGCACAGTTGCTAGTAGTCCCATTTTGTCTGTATCATTTGATCATTTTTTGAACTCCAGTTTTGGAAAATCCTGTTTTTTCCACTTATTTTCCTTTGACTTTTTCTTCCCTTATGCAAGTGGATCATTTTATATCTAATATTCTCTAAGTTAGCTTGTGATTAACCTGCTGGGGTCTGAGGGCATTTTCCTGATTTTTCATATCTTCTTAAATTCACCTTTAAAGGCTCTTGCACGACTGTTTCATATCAAAATCCTCTTTTATCTTTGTTACTACTGTCATACATGAAACTGCTGCAGCAACTTCAGCGGCTGTAAACACACCATTTCACGTGTCACCAATGTGGACTGAATAAAGAATGAAGGGTTTCCGATGTGATGAAGTCCTCTGTGATTTCCTGAGTGTCCATCGGTCGATTTCACACGAAATGTAGACGGACACACAAATCCACCAATTACACACAGTGAAAGGCAGATGACGTGTATCTCAGCCCCTTTTCATAGCTTCATAACTCAGAATGTGAGACATGTACGATCATGTTTTAAGATGGAATCGAAACGGTGACTCTACAGATTCAGGAAATGTTTGAACCATATTTCAGCACTGTATTATCACAAAAATAGAGAAACTTATATAGAAACACCAAATTTGATGCATGGGTGTGTTCATGGAGCACAGAGGGATAACTTTCTGACCACAGAAACACCTTTGGCTGGGTATTTCTGAGTGAAAGAGCGCTCTAAACCTAGCAATGACCCCCAGCAAAACCACAGTACCTGATACATTTGCACCAGATGGTCTAAAGTTTATAGTAGTACACCTGTATAGAGGACCTGTAAGGTAGGTGGAGCTCACAAAACTGACAGTGAGGGGAAGTTCAAGGAAGGAGTGTATACTATAGAGACATCCCTCACCTGCGTAGAGTTCAGGGGCGTAAACGGCTCCCACCACGGGATTCAGCTTCCAGCCTGCAAGCCACAAAAACAGATAAGAAATTAAACATGAGAGCACACTGGGAAATCAACAGAATATCTCAAAAGTGAATGGAAGCCAGATTCTACCAATTAGTATGATGCAATTAGTTATAATAAAATTGCCTTTTTCATTTTAGAGTGAATTACTCCTGAAAATTTGGTAATCAGAACAGAATCTATTGTGATTTAATGCTATGCATTTAAATGTTTCATGTTTGTTGTCCTTGATGAACACAGCCATGATAAATTTCACAGTAATATTCAGATAACAGTTCTACTGGGTTAGACAGAGTGCAATTAGCCCTAAAAGTACAATCTTACTTTCAGATACTTTAACTGATAAAGGATGATTTCTGCTCTGTAACTGATATGAATGAAGAAGCCTGTACCGTTTGTGTATGGGTTAGCTGCCTTTTTGTTTGTCATCACTCTCGCTGTGGCGTTATTCACCTGTTTCACAGAAAAACACAGAAAAGATAGAGAGAGAAGGAGAGAGAGAAAGCAAAAGGGGAGAGAGAGTGAGAAAGAGATACTACTGAATCACTACTCTGTGATTACCGAGACAACAGCACAAGCACATATTGTACTAAATAGTGTACAATCTCTGTGCAAGCACAACATGCGTGATCATCAGCACTGAAATGAAGAACACTCTGCGTCCCCTCCTGGTTTTATTCAGCTTCATTTGACCCACTCTGGGCCTAATGACACATGCTGAGCCACTGCAATTATAGAGGAGAGGCAGCATGTGTGTAGCACCATACAATATAAAATAAATAAAATGATAAATCCATTCAAACTGAAAATAGCAGCACTGGTATTGATTTCTGGCATAAAATGAAAGAGCAAAGTATTTTAATAACTCTCTAGCTGTCTAATGGTTCTGTTTCATGCCAAGTAATAAATAAAAAAAATGACACACCGATGACAAAAATGATAATAAAATGATATAAACTGAGGTCAGTCATATTCAGGGTTTCTGTCCAAATATGGTCAACATACAGACTGGTTGATTCCATGCAAGCATTCTCCAATGAGCGACAAGGATGACACACTCATCCCAAACTTCTTGTCTTTCTTTTGGGGATATAAGGTAACAAACCACTCTGATAAATGGCATTCGGGATGTCTTTGTCACACAAATGCACGCGCACCCACATACACACTTAAGAGCGTTCAGGGAAAAACAGCAGCAGGCAATGGAGAGAGAAAAAGAGGGAGAAAGAGAAGAGTAAGGAAAAAAGGGAAAAGCACCTCAATCTTGCGTCCCTCTACGATAGTACCGTTTAGTTTCTCCCGCGCTCGATCTGCATCTGTGCTCGTTTCAAAAGTTACAAACCCAAAGCCCTGAAGATGAATGCAGTGAAGGAGAGAGAGAAATACAAAAGAAATGAAGGGAACGGTTATTTACATAGAGGGAAAAGATAAGAAGAGAGGGAGCACAGCATGGTGAACAGCAGCAAGTAGAAAGCAGCAGGAAGGAACTGGTGTTATTAAAGGCAGTTAAGCGAGGAGAGCCCAGCGAGGTCAAACATGGTGAGATCACTACTGAAACATGGTGAGGTTACCAAAATATGGTGAGGCCATTACCAAATCAAGGTGAGGCCATTACCCAACAGGTCATTACTGAAACATGGTAAGGTCATTATTGAAACATTGAGGTCAATACTGAAACATGGTAAAGTCATAACTGAAACATAGTGAGGTCATTACTGAAACATGGTGAGGTCATTACTAAAATATAATGTGGTTATTACCAAAATATAATGACGTCATAAATGAAACATTGTATGCTCATTAAAAAACATGGGGAAGTCATTCCTGAAACATGATGAGGTCTTTACCAAAACATGGCAAGGTCATTATCAAAACACGTTTTGACCATTACCAAAACACAGTCTGGTTATTATCTAACAAAATACAATGAAACAGTGAAACATGGGAGGGACATTACTAAAACATCATGAGGTCATTACCAAAACATGGCAAAGTCATCACTAACGAAACACAGCGAAGTCATTATCAAAACAAAATACAATGAAACAGTGAAACATGGTGAGATAATTAATAAAACATGCTGATCTATCAAACTATCAAACCATGGTGAGATAATTACAAAAACACTGAGATCATTACCAAAACATGGAGAGATCAATACCGAAACACTATGAGATCTTTAACATTATGTGTTGAGATCATTCTCAAAACATAGTCGTACACCGATCAGGCATAACATTATGACCACCTCCTTGTTTCTACACTCATTGTCCATTTTGTCAGCTCCACTTACCATATAGGTGCACTTTGTAGTTCTACAGTTACAGACTGTAGTCCATCTGTTTCTCTGCATACTTTGTTAGCCCCCTTTTACCCTGTTCTTCAGTGGGCAGGACCCCCATGGACCCACACAGAGCAGGTACTATTTGGGTGGTGGATCATTCTCAGCACTGCAGTAACACTGACATGGTGGTGGTGTGTTAGTGTGTGTTGTACTGGTATGAGTGGATCAGACACAGCAGTGCTGCTGGAGTTTTTAAACACTGTGTCCACTCACTGTCCACTCTATTAGACACTCCTACCTTGTCAGTCCAACTTGTAGATGTAAAGTCAGAGACAGTAGCTCATCTGCTGCTGCACAGTTTGTGTTGGTCATCCTCTAGTCCTTCATCAGTGGTCACAGGACGCTGCTGGCTGCATATATTTTGGTTGGTGGACTATTCTCAGTCCAGCAGTGACACTGAGGTGTCTAAAAACTCCAGCAGCACTGCTGTGTCTGATCCACTCAGACCACCCAACACACACTAACACACCACCACCACGTCAGTGTTACTGCAGTGCTGAGAATGACCCACTACCCAAATAATACCTGCTCTGTGAGGGTCCATGGGGGTCCTGACCACTGAAGAACAGGGTAAAAGGGGGCTAACAAAGTATGCAGAGAAACAGATGGCCTACAGTCTGTAATTGTAGAACTACAAAGTGCTCCTATATAGTAAGTGGAGCTGATAAAATGGACAATGAGCGTAGAAACAAGGAGGTGGTCATAATGTTATGCCTGATCAGTGTTTAGTAGTACTGATTTTCTAAGGTAGGGAGGAGTAATTAGAGGACCATCTCTGGTCCCTATAATAGTGCTCTAAATTTTGCTCCTGGTTTAGGATAAATTGATTAGTGGATCATTTCTACTTCTTGTAAAAGAGTTCTGTACAGTGCTCCAATGTAGAGAATAATGAATAGGGTCATTTCTGTTTCCTGTTTAGTGGTCTTGATTTTATAATTTAGGGAATAGTGATCAGGGGACCATTTCTGTTCTCTAATAATGCATAATATAGTGCTTCTGATTTAGGAAATAGTGATCAGGGGTCCATTTCTATTGCTTTTAACAGTGTTTTATATAATGCTTTTCATTTTCCAATGTAGGGAACACTTAGGGCATCATTCTGTTCCTGGTAAAAGTGTTCTATATAGTGTTCCAATGTAGATAATAGAGTTCTACATATGGCTCTTCACTTCCCAATGCAGAGAAAAGTGATTAAGGGCCGTTTCTGTTCCCTATAGAAGTGTTTGTGATTTCCAAGGATAGGGAACAGTGATTAAGGGACTGTTGCCTACAATGGTGCTCTATATAGTGCTCCTGATTTAGGGAATAGTGATTAGGGGACCATTTCTGCGCCCTATAATAGTGTTCTATATAGTGCTCCTGATTTAAGGAACAGTGAATAGGGGACCATTTATGTTCCTTGTAATAGAGCTCTGTATAGTGCTCCACTGTAGAGGCTAGTGATAGTGATAACAGTGTTGTACACACGACTATTTGGGCAATAGTGATAAAGGGACCATTTTCAACACAGCAAGTCAGAAAAAATGAGAATGAGAGATTCAAACTCTTCATCACATAAGAAAATCTAAGGCTACTCTGACTTCATAGGCAGAAAGTATGACAATAGAAGGTTGATAATGCAGCTATACATCATAACACATAAGGAATGAACAACTCGACCAGAGTCTCAGGGCCTTGTGTTTTGACATAAATAACAGCTTAACTTTCCTGAGGGAGTCAGAGAGAGAGGTCGGGTTGGCAGGCAGAGCAAGAGAGCGAAAGAAAAGATAAAGAAATAAATTCAGAAAAGGCATTGAGGGCAAAATTAATCCTTTGGACATTTCTCACTGCTGTGCCTGGCCTCTCTATCTTTTTTTCCCTGCTCCTTTCTCACTTTTTTTTCTTATCATGCACAAATAATTAGCTTACACGGAGGGGGAAAGGAGTCGCTATTTTTCAAAGGAGACAAACATATTGAATGCAAATTGCCGAAGCGTCATAGGAAATAGATTGTTTATTAATGGCCCGCTAGGTTCATTATACCGCCACGCTGGTGGCGAGGGGAGCAAGGCATCATGGGTAATGGGCTTTGTAGGGCACAAACAATAAATGCTTGTTGCAGAGGAGGAGGCAGATTTATCCAGTGCTTAATCTTGTCTAGCTGTGGGGGGACTGATAGAATGACTGGAGAATCCTACGCACACACACACACACACACACATACAGAGAAAGAGAGAGAGAGAGAGAGAGAGAGAGAAAGAGAGAGGAGAGGGAGAGAGAGAGAAACAACTGGACTCCCCAAAACAATCCCCCCAAAAATAGATAAACATTCAGCTGTATTTACAGTGATGAACCAAGATATCACTGCTGTCTATATGTTTTACGGTATTTTCCAGTTGTCCTTTACATTGTGTGAACACTTCAGGATGAATGAATCAACAGAAATGGCCAAATTTTTACATTCACATACATTAAAATCAAGAACACTTCATCGTGGAATGCTTTCTTTTACAGTTCATCTTATTAATCAGGTATGTGGTACAAATTCAAAAGTCGCAGGTCAGGAATTCTTAAACTTTTTGGCCTGAGGTCCAAAATGAGAATTCTGACACCATCCTGAGAGCCAAGCAGAGAATTATTACTACACTCACACATTAACAGTGTAGCTTAAGGAGAGAGAGACTCTTTTCTTGGTAATGTGCTGTGTGAATATTTTGTTACCCAAATAACAAAACATACAGACCGTAATGTTGCATTAAAGTTGTTGGTAGGATATTATGCTTGACAAGCTTGAAAAAAAAATGTGTCCCACTAACCTCCAGCTCTTCCTCTCTCCCCTTCCTAATTCACACTCATCTTGTCCATCATGTCAGCTCTAGCATATTTAGTGTATTTAGCATATTTAGACAGAGTCTCAAAGGAGGTGTTATTTTTAACACACTGAACTTTCCTATCAATTCTGATGTGCTAATTTTGTTTGTCACTCTGTAAATGCAGGAATGAGACAGAGACTAGCAAGAAACCGAGTCACTGAGTAGTAATGGCGACAAATTTATCAAAGTATATGGAGATGAGGCTTCAGCTCGGAGCTCTGAGCTTTAAAAATGAGCGAATACATCAAATGAGAATGTTTGTAAACATAAAGGTTGGCTATACATCCGGGGGGATAACTTGCGTCTAGTCAGTGAGCGTGAAATTTATGGTAAATACAAACTGAGCAGCAAAACGATGAAAACTTGTTTTGTCAAATGTACTCGAGTACATAATGGATTTTACTTATGTTTTTCCAGGTTAACAGCTTTCAAAAGCAGGTAAAGCTCCTATAAGTAGTATTAGTCCTACTGAGGAATCCACTGTCTTTGATGACACTTGCAGCTGAAGCCAATCACAATTTAGTGAATCATTTACTCTTCCAGATGAAGATGTATTGCCAAACACTATTAAATGACCAATAAGTGTATCAGAATGTAAACTGGGACTGTATGTTGATGTGTTGATTGTTATTTTTAGAATTATTGTTAAGAGAGTTTACTGTGAGATGGGTCACTGTGGGAACAAAACCTTGTATCTCAAAAATGTTGATACGAGACTTTACTTTAAATTCTTAACTTTTAATAGAAATTAATGGAAAAATTATTTATTCACAGTCATTTTGGGCCATTTCTGCTGGTCTATTCATCATGAATTGTTGTCCCATTGTAAAGGGCATTTTCAAATTGAATCAAAATATGAAAAAACGGTCAAAAATGGAGATATGAGGTTTTGTCCTGAAAGTGATGATAAGCTAGTTAAGAAACTAACACTAACAAATTTATGCTGGCAGCCACTAAGAGTCTTTTTGTCATATTTTCCCATGACAGTGAAAAATATATGCCTTGTTTGATTCTACACATGATTTTGCAAGTCAGATTTCTGACTATCGTCAGAGTGTGGCTGTTGTCAGAGATTCTGGAGCATTTCATAGCTTAGTAGGCCAAGGAGTTGATCCCAAAAAGAGTCGATTCTCCGGGCATAGGGATGCATTGATACTGGTACTGGTATCTGCCTGATACCATGCTCACTTACACATACTCATACTCATAATTTTTTTAAAAATTATTTGACTCACTTTTTTGCATAATGTGAACCTGATTATTAAATTCAAAAACATTTTTTAAATAATAATGTGTGCAGGGGGCCCTTTGGTGTATTTGCCTTGAGGCAACATTGTGAAACAATGGGAAGAAATGATTCAAGTTTCTTGAAGTGGTAGGACCTGGCTTGTGTCTGGCTAAATCCATTCCACTGTCATACAGTGTTGCTTCTAGGCAACAAACATAATGCTGCAAATTCAAAAAACAAAAAAATGATACTGAATGTTAAAAAGAGATTTAATAGTGTACACTAAGAGATAGTATGACCACATGTATAACGTTATTCTAAAGTCAGGGAAATGTGTTCGTCTCCCTGAGGCAACATCATGCAATAGAGTGTTAAACTAACCAGCAAGCAATGTTGCTACATTGGACACTTTAGTTGAAAATGACATACAATGACAAAAAGGACCATTAAACAGTTAATCACAGTTATTGTAAATGGTTCCAACTTTCTCTCAATCAGGTTAAAAACAAACTAGAACTAGAACTGGAACCGTAAGTTTAGCTGATTCCCGTTTGGGTCAGTTCTTGTTTTTGAATGTGCCATGAAAACACCTTTATAAAGTGATGCTTCATCATTATACCCTACAAAGAAATGTATGGCTGGGGCATATTCATAAATATTTCACAAAAATTTAGGACACAAAGTTGTGAATTTATTGGGAAGATCAGTTTGAAAAAAGCTTTCCAATATCTGGGTTAAATCTTTTTCAGGATTAGTACAAAATCTGGCATCAAAGCAGCCCTACCTCTGTTACCTATGTAACTTGGACTGAATACAGATACTTAATTTCCATATTATGGTTACAAAATAACTCAAAAAGTGCTTTTGAGTTTGTACCTGTGACTTACCTGGTTAATACCCACATCTTAAGGGACTGTAATGTGTTACTTTATCCAGCTCCTATAAAGCTGCCACTGTGCTTTTCTATTTAGTTTTCATGAAAACAGATCGGACCTCAGGTGCTGATGAATCATGGGAAATGTGGATGTTCAATTTCTGCTTTTTCAGGGCTTTTCTCTTCTCTTTTTTAGCCTCTTCAGGCTTTGATCTGGCCTGAGGCAAATCAAACTGGCGCCTCTAAGCTAATAAACCGCTCTGAGGGGAAAGAAAAGCCCATCACCTCACTGCTACTGTCAGAAGGGAGGAGGAAAGAAGAAGATGAAGCACATACCTTAGATCCCCTTTCATTAAAAATGATCTCCACATCTAAAATCTTCCCAAATTGCTGTGGAGAGAAAAAAGAGAGAAAATAAATGGAGAGGAAAAGGAGGCTGGAAGAAGAGAGGAGAGAAGAAGAAAAAGATAAAATCATCTGACTGCATCATTAGGAGGCTCAGGAGGAACTAAGGCTCATGATATAATTACAGAAAAGGAGTGTACTGACAAGAAAGATCTTCTGGCTTACTTTGAATATCAACTCTTGAAATGTGGCTGTAGATGAAGTTTTAATCAGAGCAACAAATGATGTTAAAGCAGTCACAATGTTTCTAGTTTTGCAAGCCAGATTTCTGACTATCGTCAGAGTGTGGCTGTTGTCAGAGATTCTGGAGCATTTCATAGCTTAGTAGGCCAAGGAATTGATCCCAAAAAGAGTCGATTCTCCGGGCATAGGGATGCATTGATACTGGTACTGGTATCTGCCTGATACCATGCTCACTTACACACACTCATTCTCATAAACACTCTGATACAATCTGATACCATGTGATGTAAGCCAACTGTATGCTGCTGCACTTATGCACAAACAACTTAAGGTGGCAGTGGAGAAGGGTCTGCTCAGACAAAGAAGTGTTTCTGATGCTGTGAAGCACAAACTAGTGTCGGAGCGACACAGAATCGAACATGTTCTGTAGCATTTAGCCTGTCAGCCATTGCTGAGCAACTCTTGTATGTAGTTTTCTTCAGTATTTCCTGGTTCTGGTTTAGCAGCACAGCAGATGGAAAAAGAAACCATAACCAGTCTCACCTCAATGACCTGGCATGGCCCTGAGAACCATTCAGCTCTACAGTCGCAAAAAGGCCACAGATATTCTGTCATTGCCTATTGCCAGGTGCCCCTGCCAAACCTGTGGCCTGAGAGGCCACTTACCTTGGAGATTTTTTTAGGACTTTTTTTCCCTTTTAATAAACCACCAGACCAGTTGAATTTTCAAACATTTTCAAATACCAACCATTAGTAGTAAAAGAAAACTTTTTACCCTCCCACACAAAACATCCACCATGTTTATCATAGGACATGAAACTGGCACCATATTAGAATTTGTTGGAATTCACCAACTGTAATGTGAAGTTTACCACCGCGATAGCTAACGTGTGACAGCAAGGAACAGTTTCGAGCATTTGTTTGTAAAAATACATGGAAATACTTTGCAGACAGTATGTTTTGCCATACAGATATTTTTCCTCTGAATGTTGCCAGATCCTCTGAATTACATGGTTGTTAAGGAGCCATAATGCAACTTCAGGCAAGCTAACACTGCTACACACTAAACTCGCACCATAAGATATTTAACCTCACCACAACAGTGTACAGGCAGTTTTAGGTTGCAGTTTAGTAGCTGGTGTTGGTTTTTGATGGTTTTAAATAAATAAATAGTTAGGAAGTCCATAGAGGCCATGATGTAGTTATAATTTTCTGGACTGTTATAGTGAGATCATGACTTATTTGTCTTGTGATCTCAAGGTAACAAATTTTGTTTTGTCAAGATCACAACTTACCTGTCTTAAGATAAAAGTTGTTTTCTCAAGGTTACTTGTAGTATAAAACATTATCCATATTCTGACTGCTTAACAACCTTGTAATTCAGTGCATCCAGTGAGACTCGGGGGGAATAATGTACACAAGACAAAAACATATCAGTTTTGGGGCATTTTGGTTTACTACAGAACACGACAGCGGCAATTTTTTGAAAAGAGCATTTATTTGTTTTATAGAGGAAACCAGCTTAGAGTTCATGATATGGGCATAAGGCTGACTACAGAATGACGACTTTAGAGATCTAGTATGTGCACATGGATGGGCAAATAGCCAATCAAAATACAACTGACAATATTTCTTGCTGGCTTACTACAGACATCAGAAGCTCCATGTACTTCTGGGAGAACACACAAACCCACACATACTCTGCTGGCTTGAGCTAATGAAGATAGTACAGCGCTCTGTTTGGGAATAGATTCCTCTTTGGACCGTTAGAGCCACCCCAGGCACAGTGTTATTCACAACTCTCAGAACAGACATAAACAGCTAGCAAAAGCTTGGCTGTAAGAGACACCATCTTTGATTTGCTCAATGTGAACCAATTTCTTAATGTCGTATCGATAAAGTGACTTTGATCTCTTTTTAAAATTTTCTTTGCAATGCTTCAAAAAAAAGCTTTTTTCAAAATCTTACATAAAACTTTTCAGTGTCTGTTTCTTACTTTCTTAGTTTCAGTCATAGTCACAGGCATGAGGTGTTGAGACATGAGGTGTTGTTTCAACAGCACTTTTATTTTATTTTAACCACCAGGATTATTACATACTAGGGTTATTCACTAACTACAGGAACTTCGATGCAAACTGATTGAGCCAGTCTTAGGTTATAGATAGTGTGTGATAAAACTTTGGGCCTTTTAAGGGGTTAATATAAACTAGCATAATTCCAACAAATCAGACCTCAGGTACTGAATCATGAGAACCTGTGGATGATCAATATCTGCCTTTTCAGGGCATTTCTGTTCTCCTTTTTCAGCCTCTCCAGGCTTTGATCTGGTCTGAAGGATGTGAAGTAAATCAAACTGGCACCTCTAAGCTAATGCAATACCAAAAAAGTAACAAAAACAGTCAAAGTGTGTCAAAGGATGTATCTTCTTTCCACAAAACAACACAACATGATTTCTCATCAAATTCAGATCATAACAAAATATCTCCTCGTCTACACAAACGTGGTATAGACTGAAAGTTTACGTTTTCCAAATGTATCTGCTTGTTTCAATGAGCCACAAGCGAGAAATAACCGGCAATAACTGTGACTTCTGCTCATTAACTCTGCCAGAATTAGATCTTCTTTAAGAATAGAAAGCAGTAAAGAAGAACAGACATATCTAAAATGTTTGTTTCTCTTCTCTGTTTCTTTCTCTGCTTTTCCTCCCTTTCCCTGCCTCTCTTCTTCCCTCTCCCTTTTCCTCCCTACCCCTTCTTCTTCTTTTCTCTCCTTTTCTTTCCCCTCTTTTCATTCCCTCTGCTTTTCTCTCTCCACCCCCCACTTGTGCTCTCTCTCCTCCACTCTTCTTTCTCTCTCCTATGTTAAGGGATGTGACAGGTTATTCCCACGGGGGTTTCTGGTCTTCAATCCAGAGCCCGCCGTGGGCCGGATCATTAGGAACCGGAGGGAAGAGGGAAGAGAGGAGCTTTCCCCTAATGATCCGAGAACGAGGGAGACTTTTAATTGCTGTCCATGGCCGCCGCATTATTTCATTAGAAGCAATTACTGTGCCAAGCTTGTCGCATCGCCTTCATTTAGCCACAACAGGGAGGTGCTCTGTGCTGGATGGAGAAGGACCATGTGACTCAGGAGCTAACTGGCTAATGGGCTCAGACAAGGCCACTTTTATCCTCAGAGATACTGACCACTGGGATACAGTTGAGAGAGAGATTAGCTAAAGTATGAGAGAAGAGCAGGAGACTGAGACAATCTACAGTACTATACAATGGCTAGTTTCTTTACATGGTTGGTGCCAGTTTTATGCACTACATGTCTAAAACTTTATAGACACCTGCTTATCAAATGTGTCTTCTGAAATCAAGTTTATTAATAGGGAGTTAGTTCCTCCTTTGCTGCAGTAAACAGCCTCTTTTGGGAAGGCTCTACTAGATGTTGGAACATTGCTGTGAGGATTTGATTGCTTTCAGTCACTAGAGCATTAGTGAGGTCAGGTACGGATAGTGGATGATTAGTTCTGGATCATAAACACCACTCCAAATCACACCAAAGGGGGGAATGGGGGTGGGGTGGTCACAGAGACCTTAGGTTCATGTACAGATACTCCAAAGTGTCCCATTCTATCAGTTATACTTTTCTAGGGAGATTGTACAAGCTGTGTGTGTGCAACTCAACATCTGTGTCAACCATAGGTGCACCTTAAGGTAACTAAATTCACTAATTAGAAGGGGTGTCTGGAGACTTTTGGACATACAATGTAGGGACTACACAGGTTCCCCACACTGTACCACTATATAATGGCACTGCCTTTGGGAGGAAACACAGCCTGTAATATTATATCACTGCTGTCGGAAACAAAACCTCATATCTCCAAAATGATAACTTTACAGGAGAAGGAAAAAACAGACTTTACTTTTAATGTAAGTCAAGGGAACCAGACTTTTTTCCAAATAATTTTGGACCATTTCTTTTGGTCCCTTCATTATGAAATTTCAACACAATGTAAAGGGCAACAGGCATTTTCAAACTGCACCAAAAACTGAAAAGTGACAAAAATGGAGGTATGCGGTTTTGTTCCAACAGCAGCGATATAGTACTTACATATTGGTGCTCCATGTGAGAGAATACAGAGAACACTATGGTATCTAAACATTTGATGCAAGCTTAAACTTTGTATACTTATATTAGCATTTAAAGTCTATAATCATTTGCATTTATAACTGCTGTTATTAGTAACTGTCACTTTTTTTGTCATCTCGAAATATTCAAGATATCAACACTATGTTCTCTGAAATGTTTGGTCTGATCTGAACTGTTGTGCTAGTATACAGCTTTTTGACCAGATGTACATTTTTCATAAAATGGCTGTTGAATGACCATTCTTCCCTCATAGGAAATTACTAGCAGAATTATGCTGGTGAAGACTTGTGCACTCCACTTATGACATGATACTAGTAATATGACAAGTACACTAGTAACATCCTAGCATCCACGGGGGATGCCATATCAGCACCACCCTAGCAACGACCTGGAACATCACCTAAAATAACACAATAGCCTTTTAGCAAAACCCTAGCAACTACCTGAGAATTGCTTAAACTCCACAATGAATTTGCATTAGCTTTAGAAAATGGACTAATTTTATTTAATAATAACTTATACAGTGTAGGGTGATATTATAAACTAGACACCAAAAGGTAAATTCATATGTCATTAAAGTTATTAAATAATGAATCATATGCTGTAATCATCTATTTGAAGCATCCATCCAGCCATTTACTTTGGGATTTGATCACCACTTTTCA